GAGAAATAAAACATGGAGCTAAGAGCTTCAAGGTAAAATGACTATAAACCTAGGTTTTAATGAGTGAAAGGTGTCAAAAGCTCATTCATTGATCTTGGTGATAAGATATGGATAAGTGATCTGGATAAAAGTATCTCATGTGCCATTGATCTAAGGCATCAACGATCAAGATCAAATCCATCTTTATTATCTAAGTATAAAAGTAACTTATAAGATTAATTATAACCCTAACTTGAGTATTCATTTCAAAGAGAAAAAGAGAAAGAGCTCTTGACAAAAATGTGGTCACCCATGAGACTATCTTCTTCCTTGAGCTTTCATTTAAAATCCTTCCATGGAGTAGTCTATCATTTATGTGATCAAGCCCATACTATTGCTTCATTAAGGTATTGATTTTTTTTATCATATTTTTAATTCCTACCTTATTTCCATTATCAAAGCTTGCTGTAATTCTTAATTTATAGTAGCTTTCTTCATTTTTGGTTATGAAAACTTGATATTTGAATAGTTCCAAATATACACATAGTATGTATAGACTAGCTTACTTACTTCATGATCTTGAGTAGTTTCAACTTGATTTATTAATCTTATTTTTTTGGAGTTTTTACGGAGAATATACAACTGATGAGAGGTTTATTTCATCATATTTGAGCATAAGAAATAGTCCATTGAGTTCCTTTTTTTAATGTTGAAAAGTTCGTGTGTAGTTTCACCATAACTTCCTTGTTTTGTGTAGTATCTCTCTCAAACTTTGAAGGGTTATTTTGATGCATGTCTCTCTAGTGATTTCATCCCAATTAAGTGAAATAAATGTGATCATTTGCTTCCCATTGGATTGATCTCCTTTAGTTATTATTATCACCCGTGACTTAGACAATGAGACAAAATTAAGTCCTCAAAAGGCCCTTTCATGGCCCGGGCACAAGGGGTTCGAACCATGGTTTCCCCATGTATATTTACATGTTTATTTGATGTATTTACAGTTATTAAATGGATTCATTATTGATTAAATTAAGTATATTGTGTGAATATTGAGATTGTTTTTTAATCTTGCGGTTTTAATCTTGCGGTATGAGCTTTAATGCTATGCATTATTGTTTATGCGAATTGAAATCTTATTGAATTATTATGATTAAGTGTATGATGTGTATGAGATATTATGATATATAATGAGGATGAAGAATGAAAATGAAATTATCATATAATTTTAATATAATAACGAATTGTGAGTGCAAATCATGCAATATGTTGTAAAGATGTACAATGTGAATATTTGAATATTGTATTCAGTTTAATTGAATTTTTGAGTTAAAGGATTTGTAAGGGACCTATTAGGGTTGAATTTTATTATTCAAATGTGTATAAACCATGTTTGTAGGCTGGAATATATGTATTATGGTTATGTATTGAGATATTCATGCATTTAAACTCTTGAGTTTTTATATGATAGAAATTTTGTCCAGTATGTAGAAAGTGATATCAATGTTTTGCTTTTGTTATATAAAATGTAATAAAGACGTAGATATGACATTAAGAATGATAACCACCACATGATCCCTTTATAGTTTATATGGTTACGAACATAAATCACTTATACGTTTATTAAGTGCAACCACTAACCAATGTCCAATGTCATAAATGATCAATGGTGCATTTATTATGCAAAATGCAACAAGCAGAAAGTAACAATTAAAGGATATCATGATATGCAAATGTCATGTAGGCCCTTGGATGCATGAAACTCTTCTAATTGAAAGTTGTGGCTATGTGGAATTCAAGAAAGGAAAATCAAAGATTTTTTTATTTTTGTTATTAATGAAAATAAATTCCACTTATAAGTGCCACAATACACTTCTATAAACACAAAATGAAAACCTAAATACGACCTAAGACCATTTGTTTTTACTGCCAAAACAAATAAACACAATCTAGGAACCAAATTCAATATTCCACTATCAATAAAGTACAAAATATGTTCTTGAAAATTCATTGGAAAACTGAAAATATAATTGAAAATAAAAGTAAACAACAAGGAAGACTTACTTGATTGTGCCTAGGGTTACCCCTATTGGACTTTGTACACCCCACACTTGATTTTTGACCTGTGGTGCACTTTTATCCTATCCTTGTTGGAATTATACATGAAGCTTTCATAAGCTATACCTCTTAAATTAGGTTTTAGAGAGCATCAAAACACAACTAGGGTTTGTAGGAACACAATAGGATTAAATTAGGCAAAGTACAAAGAGTGAAATTCATCCTAAGTTGGGCATACCTCTCTCCAAACAATAACGCCCTAGATTAGGGGTTTGGTGCGCACCCCCTCTTCTTCTTTTTTTTTTTACAGTGGCATGCCACTAAAATAGAGAGAGGAGAGATGAATTTGAGAGGAGAGAGAGAAAGAGAGATTTATTTGAGGAGGGTGGAGAGAGAGAAAGACTTGATTGGGTAGAGAATTCGAGAGGTACACTTCCTTTTATAGGTTGAAAGTCCCCCTTAATGTTTGTCTATCTAATAACACAACTTGACCAATATGAATTTAGAAAATCTGTGAGATGAGAGAGAAACAAATTTGGCCATCCAACCCTTAAATCAACTATCATGATTTACAGATGAATGATATGAACATTAGCCCCTTTAATATTTGACACGTATCTATTTAGTCCAAATATGATTAAACCAAATAATAACCTTCTAAAACTTCCTAATATCTCTTTGAAATTTGTAGAAACTCAAAGATAATATAATTTTGGTCAATACTAACATCTACAAAAATAGGCACATAATATTTCCTTTTAAAAGATTATCTTTTCTAACTTAAAAACATTTTTAATTTAAAATAAACTTTTAAAAAATATTAGTGGGGCTTGCCACCCCCCATGGGTGAAATGTTGCCCCCTAGGCCCCATTCCTAAACCATGTGAGGGTGGCACACATGTGGGGCTAGATCCAAGGGCTCCATATTTGCCCGCCCTTATAACTATTTATCGAAAGTACAACTTACGAAGGGTTTTACAATAGAAAATAAAATTTAAAAATCTAAACAATTTCTAAAATTCACGGAAACATTTCTAATAGTGAAAAATAAAATATGTAAAAGTGGATTGGTACCAATGGATAAAAAACAAGTGATTGTAGGGGCACTCCACCTGAGCCGATGGCCATGATCCACATTTTTTTGCAGACCAACCCAATGAGGCCTATACCTCATAATCTAATGCAAGGGCCTATGATTAACTCGTCAAAATAGGCTAATAAATAGTGGAACCATAGTCTTGGAATGTGGATTATACTCCCCCAAAGAGCAAGTCAAGTATATATCATTATAGTACAATGGGACTCTCTCTATGCATTTGTACACACATGCATCTATAAGAATGCTTTCTAAAAATATAGTTATCATATGTACATATTTTGTGGGAGTTTGTTGAGGATTTAGCCATCGCTCTCACAAGTTTACGTCCGCACATAAGATAAGCTTACATCTGTACATAAGAGATCACATAGTTCTCCTCGCCAATAAACCATTTATGGGCATCTCTGTTCTCCTCGCCAATAAACCATTTATGGGCATCTCTTTGACCTCAACAAGGGATAACCCACTATAGACTCTATTTTGTAGTTCCCAAGTGTAAGGTTTTGGATATAACCTTGGCCATAGACCTCCTAAACCTTAGTCAATCAAACAATGTACATTCCATTGAAGACTATAAATATACAATAATGTCTTTTACACACTATCACAACCTTTAAAGGCCACAAAAGCCCAACAATAAAGCACGCCCCTTGATGCATGTAAAATTGTGCATTCATATATTTATAAATATTTTTATGGGAAATTATCAACGATACACCTTAATTTTTGGATTGTTGGAAACAAACTTCAAACTTTCCAAAATTTCATCCATACCCTTTTTTCGGGTGAGTAAACGAAAATAGCCTCCACAATAGTCTTAGAACAGTGAATGCATCACTGTTTACTGAAAAATGTGATGGTCATGGCAGGTTGTAAGTCAAATGTAATTTTGAAGCATTACAATACTTAAAGAACCGTGATGGTTACTGGACTATCACGGTTATAATTTAACCGTTTATACCTTCGCCATGGGGCATATGAACTCTTAATAACCGTTATACCTTTTAACAACCATCACGACTGTTCAAATGCTGTGATGCCTCAAATCATTAAACCACCCATGACCATCACGATAGGCTACTGTGATGTCTTCACAATCCTAAGACTATCGCAAAGGCTATTTTGGCAGTAAAAAATGCAAAAAGTGAAGAGGTTTTGGAAAGTTTAAAGTTTATATCTAATAATCTAAAATTTAAGGTATATTTTTTATAATTTTTCTATGAGAAATTATCACAAATATACATTAATTTTCATCTATTTAGAAAAAAAAACCAAAACTTTCATAAACTTTTTCTATATACTTTTTCTTCAATTTTGGGCAATTTGTGACTAAAATTATATATAGAGAGGGAGAGGGTCCAAGTCGCTGTATAAATGTAAAAAGAGAGAGAGAGAGGAGGCTCTGAACCTCTGTGGACAGACCGAAATATTGAAATGGGATTGGTTGTAGCAGCACGCTCTAATTGTTTTCACACTGTTTCTTAACATCTTCATCTATCCAATTTGGGCTTGTAGTCAAGGGCTTTAATGGTTTTGGGAACAATTAGAGTTGTTATTCTACTATATAAAATAGGTATTCATTACAATATTCTAAGTACCGTATAAAATGGGGTATTTATTACGATACTTAATAGATCTTTCTTGGTAATGCGAGTGAAGGTCATTTTGGTCACAAAATACCTAAAATTGAAGAAAAATGGTGTGGATGAAAGTTATGAAAGTTGGTTTTTTATTTTTTTATTTATTTTAAATACACCAAAATTAGATATATTTTTTATAATTTTCCTAAAATATTCGGAAGGTTGGAAAGAAATATAAAATATTTGGGCCGAAATTGGAACCACTTCCTACTAGATATGCCGTAACAGTGTCCATGTAAGGCCGCTAAGAATCTGAAACCTCTCGCACAAACGTCTTGCTCCACTTGAAGGCAGGATTTTCGCTGTGAACAATGTTCAGATATCTCTACAGATCCTCTATACGCCCCACCCTTCTCCCTTTCACCATCCTCCATGTATTGCCACTGTTTCCACCTTTTTCTATTCCAATCTCATGCAAATTTTCCATCACAACAATACCTAATTTTTTGTGTTCTTTTTTCTCTTCCTCTTCTTTTGGCTGTTATTTCTTTCTGTTTTGTCCTTGATTGAATTGTTGTGTTTTTGTTTTTTTGTTTTTTTTTCTGGAGAAGAGGGATATTCATAGTAGGAACAAGAAGGCAATGGAGTTCATAGCCAAAGGATGGAGCGCGTTGCAGGAGGTTGACAGGGTTATCGATTATGCAGATTTCAATGACCTAAGACTCATCCCTCACCTCAGGGTAACAAAACCCACAGACCTGTTATTATAGTCTCTCTCTCTCTCATTCTCTATCAATTTCCTTTCAATTTGTCATAATTTAGTTTCTAAAATCATCAAGTATAAAAATAGGCAGCAAAGGAAAATTTTGAACTGGCATTGGAAGCCGATAACTCGAACACCCATGCCAGGTACTGGCTTTCTCGGCTGCATTTCAAATACCATGTGCCAGGAGCTTGTAAAGTAATGTGAGTTGCTCATTGGTTCTTACCTCCCATCTTCTTCTCCTCTTACATTTTCCCTTTGGGTTTGTTTATCGAAATCTTTCTTTCGTATTTGTTAGTTTTCTTTGTTTTCTAGGCTTGTATCGAAGTTCATGATCCACATTTAATTTTGATTAGGAATTCATGCATTTTCCCAATTTATGTGTTGAAATTGGGATGTCAATTTTGAGTAGTTGTTTGATTCTTTAAAAGGAAATTTTTCTTTTATGTTATTTGGAATCGTATGCATGTCATATGTTCTTTTTTTACATTGATGTTGTGTAACTAAAGTTTCATAGAAAAAGATTGATCCGTCAAATTAATCTAGAGGTCATTTCATGTGGTAGCCAGTGAGAGATGAACAAACCGATGGGTTTTAGGTAAGTTGGAGAAGGCCCAAGTTTTTAATAAGAAAAAATGTCTAGGAAGTGTTTGAAGAAGTGAGAGGAGAAACAGGTGCGGTCTCAATTTTCATTTGTAGAGCCCTTAAGAGAAGTCGATTATGCAGTCAAAGCTCTGGGGTCGTCATTATCGTATCCAGATTTTTTAATGCATGAGACTTGTGGAATCATTCATTTCCTGCTTGGTATTGCAAGCAACACCGATTGTGAGATAGATTAGAAAAGATCCTTGTTTATATTGTAAGCTTGCAAGTTGGTTTTTAGGGTTTTTCTTTTATAAAGCAAGTGTTGGACAAGAAAAAGATAGAGAAGAGAATAATTGATTTTGGGTCTTGTAGAAGATCTTTTTGGGTGGACTCTTTAGATCCAAAGAGAAGGTATAATCTCTCAACCTTGTGTTTTTTCTTTAGCTCATATAACTTTCTTTGCCCTACTTCCTTCCATCAATTCGTATTAGAGCCTTGAGATCCATGCATCATGGTACCATAAAAAACACGCAGTTATCCATTTATGGAATGTCATGGATCAAAAATTTGAGAGAGACAAAAAAGACCTGAAAGAAAGCCTTGGAAAAATAATGTAATAACTATGACCAGAACTACTCTAACAAGAATATATAGAAGTAGAAGACAGAAAATCAATCTCTAATCTCAAAAAAAAAAGTTAATCTCTAATCAAAGCATTAATCAAACATTTGTGACCTTTTTGTTGTAGAAAACTGTGGACTATAATTGGTATTTAAATGTTAAATAGATTAAAGGCTGGGATTTAATTGTGTTTAGGATTTCTTAAGAAACAAGTTAGGTTTTAGGCTTTTTCTTCTATAAAATATATGCGCACTGGACAAGTAAAAGATAGAGAAAAGAGAAGAAGAATTGATTTTGGGTCCTATAATTAGATATTTTCCTATGGTAAGATCTTTTTGGGGAGGACTACCATGCAAACCTAGAGAGATGGTCAAAATTTGTCAACGTTTATGGTGGACTCTCCTACAGACCAGAGAGGGTATAAAAATCTCATCTTTTATTTTATTTTTGTTTTTATGATTTATTTATTTTGCTTGTCCCTCTTCCCTTTATCAATATTAAAAAAGAGTGAGAAAATGGGTTGAGGGCAAAACCATACAAAAGGAAAAAATTCTAGAAAAAACAAAATATTACTTGAATATGTCAGGTGAGAGATCTAGGTTTGCTATGGCCTTTGGGTGAACATTGTCCTTCTAGCTATTAGCCTGTTTCCCTTTTTAATATTCATGTTAGGCAATGTTCAGAGAGGAAAAAGAGGAGGAGGGGGGGGGAGGGGGGTTGTTGGAGTTTGTTCTAAAGGGATTGCACTGACAAAGAGAGAGGGATTTACGGAGAGAACAAAGGAATTTTGAGAGAGGCCCCTTTGTCAATTGAGAGTGAGATTAGAGGTTGGTTGAGTGAGAGTTTCACATACACACACACACACACACACACAGATAGGTTTTGTTGAAGAAGTTGAAGGTGGAGTTCAATTTATGGTTTTTATTGTTTTGAGTTTATCTTCTTCTTCTTCTTCAGTTTTTTTTTTTTTTTTCGGTTTTGATCTTGGAATTGGTTTTGTTAGTTTTGAATTGGATTTGTTAATATGAAATCAATTAGTTTTGTTAATTTTAATGATTTTGAATTGGTTTTGTCAATTTTAAATTAGATTTATTTATATTAATTTTGAAAGTTAGTGAAGAAATAATTTTAAAGTATTACATATATTAAGAGAAATTTACACTAATATCCCCCAAATTACCGATATTGAAAAAATCCCGTTCAAAATTTTGTTATTACGCTCATACGAATCTTTTTCTTTTCCTTTTTATTTCTTTTAAATTGGCCTATTTTTGGACCTTGCAGTTCCGAAATTGAGTTTGCGGTTTCTGACAACTTCGGACCTTCAAGGTCCAAAGTAAGGGCAACATGGAAAAAGAAAAAAATAATAATGAAAAAGAAAAAAAAATAATAAAAAAAAATTGGTATGAACGTTATAACAAATTTTTGGGGTGAAATTCTTAAATAACTGATATTTGGGGGGGATGTTCGCATAAATTTTGCTATATTATGTGATCTATAATACTACATAACTTATAT